AATTGGGTCCATCTTTTTAAAACACTCTGTATTATGCTATATACATTGAACCATCCTTTGGGTAAACTGGGCCCTACCATAGGAATGTGGAATTCCCACGAGTGCATAGTTGTGAGTCAGATTAAGAGTTGGTTCATTGCTCGTTTGAGCAGACACTAACTCAACTCACATTTACAAATGCACAGGTATTGTGGTGTAAGAGTAGGCCAGATACCAACAGGGCCTCTCTTAAGCTTGCGATGGTGGTGGCAACCTGTGACGTGAACAAGAAATTGCAGGGTTGCATCTTTATTAAACTCCTGTAAATAAAATCAGGTATTTCTACTTGGCTGAATTCTACGTGGCGAAAGCCAATCGACTCAGGCAAAGGAGAAATGTTTCCTCGGGAAGGTCTTGATCTAATTGAAAATAGACTCGCATAGCTTGACACACTTGACCTAGCCTTCTGCATTATGTTAACGAGTTTGGCTAAGGAGAGGCGACTCCGTTACTCCCGGTGTCTTTACAGGAGGGAAAATCAGGCCACATTATATCGATAGGTATGCGTGCGTATATAGTACCGTAGTGCACATTCTGAAATAAAAGGATAAATTGGAATATAGTACAGCGATGTTTTGGGCGGACTACCATCTTTCACCTCGACTGCCAGATTGAATTATCATGATCAATATGGACCTATGTAGGCTACAGTATGCCTTGTACAGAACTGCATATCGTCAGTACACAATACGTGCTCTAGTATAGATTTTTAATTTATTGTACTGCACTGCGTGTGGTAGGCTATGAAGCCTGATACTGTAAATCGCAATGCCTGGTTTAATAATTTTCAGGTTTAAATCCAGGAACGATATCTCAAGAACATTTCCAAATTAACAATGCATGCATATACATACTATAAACTATATTTATTTTTCTTGGTTCTTTCGGTAAAGTCACGTAGAAGGGAAATTATAAAATTATAAAAATAAACATAATCAGATAATATTCTCACGACGTTTCGGCCACAATGCAAGTAGACATCCTCAGGTGAAGAACAGGGCTGTCAGAAATTTATAGCTGTAAAATACTGTCAACGCGTGATATCGATTCAAAATGTTGGGGGGAAAACTGGAGGACCCGGAGAAAAATCTACGCGACCACTGGGAGAATATGCAAATTCAAATTATAGAGGCATCAGGGTCGGGATCGAACCACGACTTCCTTTATACCAGGCGAGGTAATTAACATCTTGCCAAGGTGGCGACAAAGAAAGACTCTGACATTCACAACAAAAGTACATAGTGTGTTAATGTAAATATAGCCAGTTGGTCAGTTGTTTTGCAATTGCCTCTGCTTGTGTTGTATCCCACGTCGCAAGGAATCTTTCACGCAGTAACTCTCCCATAGTGTTGAATATTTTATACGTCTCCACATACAGCATTCTGTGTACGAGTGCATAAAATACTAACGGTGAAATTTTATGAAGTATATTTCTGCGGCATAAACGCTTGGCGTTAGAATATGTGGCAGCACTCGCATGAAGCAGACACTGCGCGGTGAAGCTCTGCGCGGTGCAAATCGCGTTGGCCTCGGCACTGGGTAAATCATGGCTCTAACGGAATCCAAGCTGTAGAGCTTGTCACACCGTAATACCGTATGCACAACGTGTCTGCAGTACGCAACAACATTTTTTTTTACATATCAGGGCAACGTACAAAGGCAGGTCATTCTTCTCCGAGGCGCTGCCTTGACGTGGTGAATACGATGGAGAGGCTCTAAAATCTGAGATGCCACACGGGCATAGGTAGGGGCACCCACGGTATAAGCAGTCAGATACTCGGTGAGAGGCGACACAAAATGTGCACCCTCCATCAACCTGAGATGGAGTCACGAGCGCGGCTCATGTATAGCGGCAAGGTGACTGGCGATGTGGGGAGGCCTTCATTCAGCATTGGACAGATAATAGCTAATGCTACGAACAGTGCATTTTATCACTCGGGACTTGAAACGGCTTGCTCAACCGTGGTGCAATATAGGCAGGTAATGATTCACGTAATGCATTGTCAGAGGTGGGGAGAACCAATGCTGTACCCCACCACATCAATTCACTGTGGTGTACACATATCGCTGGATGGCCAGTGGTAGGGGAATTTAGGAAACTTGCTCCATTCTTTCAACTGCCACGCCATGAGATGTGAATTGGCGACCTCTGGATTGCAAGTTCATCCATTACCCCTAGGGCAGCTTCCCCTGTATTGCATATGAACAAAGTACACTTACACAAAACTTTTATATATTTTTTTAATAACTCATCTCCAAAGGCACATTTTAATCAGTTGCTGCACATGAGTAACTCCAGGTTTTGTGACCAACCAATGATCCAGCTTTCCACGTAAGCCCAGCGAGCCGGGCACAATGCCCATTATGCCACATACAGTTTGTACAATGCGACACGGGACGGAATGTGAATGGAAGAGATTGAATGGTGTGAAAATGGACACGGCCTTTTTGGGTCAAGAGACTTGAATTTTGCAAACTGCTGTCTTCGTGCCTAAAATGGTAATTACCCTACCCGCTGCTGCATTGTAATGCAAATGCGGTTCACTTTACAAGCTGCACATGGCCTTTTCTTCCAGATAAATGCTGTAACCACTCACACTAAAAACTGAACAGACGGCCATATTTTACATGCCTTTTGATTTTCTTCTGAGCCGCGTATGTACACCTAGAACCTTGTCTAAAATATAACCTCTCCTAGACATATGTGTTACATATGTGTGTCCGCTGTATGATAAGATACTGTAATAGTAATTGCAAACACAGCAAAGCATCAGAGTCACAAGGCTTATTTTGAGGATCTTGCATTGGGATGTTTCGGCCAATTACATTCATGAGGTGTTTTCCATCATTCGGCAGGAAACCAGAGTACTGATTGGATTCCCTCAGCATGATTTTATCATAATTTATTAAAATAAATATGGCATGGTGAAACAAAGTGCCAGACCAACGTGGCGTATGGAGGCCTTCATTCTGCACTGTCGATTATTACTGATTATTCTACATATACACTCGGCTTGTACTAATTTATCCCCCTTGCACTTTAATAAATTATCACGATCCTGTGTTCCTGATTTGATTCAATAATTAGCGATGGATTACACGGGCAATACACATTGCGCGAGACGTGTCGTTGTCTGTGGTTGATTTCAATCAGGCGAGAGGTGACTGGGTGGCTCAGACGTCAAACTTCTTTATCTAACAGTCTGGAGCAAGGCAGGTGTCAAAAGTCCATTGTGTGGAAAAAGGTAAGATATTTCAGAAGTTGTTATGTAATATCTGCGTCTGCGGACTGTTACCTAACATGGGCGCATGTATTGCCCTGAAATAGTTCCAAGTGGAATTGTCATGTATTGACATGAAACTGACAGCGCAATCTGCATACAATTTGGGGGAAAGGCATTTGTTTTTATTAAAAGCCCCACCAACCTTAGGAACGCTTTTAGGACTGCATTGATTTTTTAAAAACATTTTTTCTCCAAAGATTTCAGTCTAAAGGATGTATCTTAAAGACGCTCCCTTCAGTGCATTGTTCTCTGCAAGCAGGGCTTAATTTCATCCACAGCTATCTGGGGCTGAGTACTTAGAACATATCTCCCTCCTCCTCACCGCTGTTAACAGTTGGGGACGGTGCCCGGTCGAATGTGAGGCTTCGTAAAATATTTTATGCGAAATCAAGTCCTTTTTATAAGGAATTAGGGTTTTTTTGCTTCTGGTTAGTACTGTACTAATTTGTCTTCAGAGGTCAGTTGCTCCTTTAAAATTAAAGATCAGTGAAAATACTAGACATCTGTGAAAAAGAGCTTTGTAGCTCATCGGATTCCTCCAGGACCAGAAAATAAATATTCAGATTTTTAATAATCCCCACGGAGTGTGAAGAGACGTGAAGTTAGAAACAAGGCAATGTGTTGTCTTGGGTTCCCCGAGGCACGACTAACGTTTGGGTCTGCTGCAATCGTGTTTCTCACGTTGTCTCGTGAGCTACAATGCGCTGGCTCCTGGGCAACAAAAGCCACTGGCAAGCAGGGGACGCTGCAACACAAAGGGGAGGAGGGGGGGGGGGCATCCCGGCCCGTCCCATCCCTCCTCACTGCCGAGGCTGACAGCAAACGACGGGGCCCAGCCATGCGGCTCGACTCCATTATAAGAGGGCACAACTTCGCCTTGATGGCAGTACATAGCCCCTACCATCTTCTTGTATAGCTCGATCCCTCTAAAAATCCAAAGGTGGCCACGCGAATACTCGACACGCTTAGCTTTTAAGCGCGTGTACGCGTGCGGCGGTAAAAAAAACACGGCTAAAAACAAATTTGTGGTGTGCTGTGAAAAAATAAAATGCATATTCATTAAGGACAGTTCTGTGTGGCCACGGTTGCCCATAACTGCCATTGTGTGACAACACTGAATATCGTCGAGGTTTCTGACCTGGATAAATAAATACAATCAACAGATTATTCAGGTAAAAGTTATGAGAAAATGAATTCAGTATCGGTACACGGTCAATGCTGAGATAGGATTCAGTGTATATATACCCTTTAGATGACCCATCTGGGCAAACATTCATTCCATCTTTTCTGCAAAGGAGTAACAACTCTTTGAATACCATAAATGTATCATTTTTTTAACTGCACTGCGCAATAATGTGGAAATCATCCTCCCTATCCGATATCTATCCGGTGTAGAGATGTGATCATACAAATGTGTCTGTGCAGAGGCGTGATCATACAAATGTGTCCGTGGAGGGGCGTGATAATACAAATGTGTCCGTGCAGAGACGTGATAATACAAATTTGTCCGCGTAGAGACGTCAGAGTACAGATATGTCCGTGCAAAGATGTGATAGTACAAATGTGTCCGTGCAGAGACGTGATAGTACAAATGTGTCCTTGCAGCGACGTGACAATGCAAATGTGTCAGCGCACAGATTTGATAATACACGGGGCACATATGCAAGTTCAACCCACCTTTGGAACTGGCGATGGACGCCAGCTTGTGCATGTAGGGTGCCTCCCAGCGCTCCATCACGGGCTTGCCCATGATCTGCAGATGGGTGTCAGTGTCATCGTACTGGGCGCCCGCCTCCTTCCAAGACGTCTTGCAGTCCTCGCCGTACGTAAAGATCCGTCCTTCACTCACCACAGCAGCCATGGTGTGCGTGTGTGCCAGTAGGAGAAGACGAACAATGGGGGAGAACGCCTCCCCACCTCCCCCCCGTCTCCCCACCGCAGAGAGCTACACGAGACGATGATGACATAAATGGCGCGGAGAGAGGCAAGGTCTCTCGCACAGTGCGGCTCGCCCGGCTTTAAAAGCCACCGTAAACGTGCGGCGCTTCGCAAAAAAAAAATGCTCGGCCCGACCCTTCTTCTCTGTTCTGTTCATGGCCAGAGGCTGGCCCCTAGCCCATCCCTTCTGGCCAAGCCCCCTCCCTCCCGGAGGGAGGAGGTCGGGTGAGATGGAGGCAGGGAGAGGGATAGGGGAGAGAGTGGGGTTGAAGCAGGACTCGGAGATGGAATGGGGGGGAGGGGAGGAGTGTGGATGGATGGATTGGGAATGTGACAACCGGGCTGGAGAGCTATTGGGGGTAGGTGGGGGGTTATCTTGCGGCTAGGTGGAGGTTATCTTGCTGGAAAGGTCACCCACAAACATACATTACCTTCAGCCTATATGCAAGTGCTGCACATTCCTTTATTCGTGCCCTTGTGGCACATTTTTTTCTTCGTCTACATGTGGTTTGGCACCGCTTGTTAGGTTATACTACACATGATTGCCGATTAACCAGAATGGATCATAAAAACCTTGGGAAATGCTAGACTTCAAAATGGAACCAATTTCTTTTGTTCTCTCATCTGCAGCTTTCACCAATCATAATTAGCACGCATGAATTTATCACTCAAATATGTTTCTCTGATTCTCGTCCGGTTTCTTCTATTACAATTTCTTACATCTTTGGTTCTTTCGGTTAAGTCACGTCTAAAAATAAAATAATAAATTAAAATAAAAGCATATTACGACGTTTCGATTGCAACACAAGCAATCATCATCAGGCAAAAAAGAAATAGCAACAAAAATCTAACTAGAAAACTATAGACAGACATACAAGCAGACAGACATCACAAGGACACACAGAGAGAGGACACATATCGACACAGAGAGAGGGGTCGTTTCTGTGACGGTCCCTTAAATATAGAGAGGGGGGCAGGGACGGAGAGAGGGAGGGGGCAGAGAAAATTAGCATATCAATGAGTGGACGGCAAAGTGCTGCTGCTGCGCAAGTAAGATGACGACGTGGCACGGCACGCAAGCTTGTAAATTAGGAGAAAGGCACACTAAAATTAAATAACCTCGCAAAATATCGAAATGTGATGTAATACAACACAGAGAGTCGGTCAACACACAATTAACGCATAGCCTGGTTGATTACGTATCTCAAAGATTGCTAAGTTAGAATTTAAGTGTGAAACTTCCAAAGAGAGGACAAAGGCAGAGAGAACAAATAGCCAGAGAGAGAAAAAAGATAAGCTTAAAACTTCCCCGTAGAAGTGGTTCAATCTTAATTATGGAGCTTTCGTGACTGCAGGAATTAATCTTTGGTTCTTTCGGTTAAGTCACGTCTATTTGTTCTCTCTGCCTTTGTCCTCTCTTTGGAAGTTTCACACTTAAATTCTAACTTAGCAATCTTTGAGATACGTAATCAACCAGGCTATGCGTTAATTGTGTGTTGACCGACTCTCTGTGTTGTATTACATCACATTTCGATATTTTGCGAGGTTATTTAATTTTAGTGTGCCTTTCTCCTAATTTACAAGCTTGTGTGCCGTGCCACGTCGTCATCTTACTTGCGCAGCAGCAGCACTTTGCCGTCCACTCATTTATATGCTAATTTTCTCTGCCCCCTCCCTCTCTCCGTCCCTGCCCCCCTCTCTATATTTAAGGGACCGTCACAGAAACGACCCCTCTCTCTGTGCCGATATGTGTCCTCTCTCTGTGTGTCCTTGTGATGTCTGTCTGCTTGTATGTCTGTCTATAGTTTTCTAGTTAGATTTTTGTTGCTATTTCTTTTTTGCCTGATGATGATTGCTTGTGTTGCAATCGAAACGTCGTAATATGCTTTAATTTTTATTTTTTATTTGATCTTTAGACGTGACTTAACCGAAAGAACCAAAGATTAATTCCTACAGTCACGAATGCTCCATAATAAAAAATTCTTACATATTTTCTATTTACATGTAAATTGTTATTGTCTTCTTTCACTTCGTCAACGTGATTTTCGATACGCTGATCAGATGCCTCCGAATAGTAATTCCGAAACACAGGGCACCAAAGTGTCAAGATGTTAACTACCTCGCATGGTATACATTCGGTCATGGGTTCGATCCCAACCCTTGACACCTGTATATTTTGAGTTTGCATGTTCCCTCCCCATGGTCACGTTTTCTCCAGGTCCTCCGGTTTTCCATCCACATTTATAAACATGCGTTAAGAGTATTTGGCTGCTATAAATTTCCACAACATAAGCCGTTTCGGTGAGCTATCATTTGTTGGCAGGTCGCTTCTGAAACATAGCTATATAGCCCAGTGGGCCTTACCTGGTAAATAATTAAAATAATAGTAGTACTGTATAGCAGTAGTGTATAGTGACTATCTGACAAATCGAACTGTAGAGGTTTTCTTTATTTATTATTTAGGGTGCTTCACGCAGATAACTCGACTTGGACAGGGATAACGCACAGATCACTTGGCCCAAGGACAATGCACAAGTGACTTCGGCTAGGGATGGCACGCAAGTGGCGATGACGCGAAGACAGCGATGACGTAAAGACAGCGACGATGCGAAGACAGTGATGCGAAGACAGCGACGGCCCGAAGACAGCAACGGCGTGAAGACAGCAATGTGAAGACAGTCGACCTCGATCCCACGGCAGCCCCGAACCTCTCCTCTCACCCTTTTTATTCCAGGCATGGCCCTCACTATGCCCCCGGCCACGCCCCCTTTCTCGAATTGTCTCGCACGTTCCTGAATTTCCCAGATGGTTCCCTTCTGTAATTACCCCTCGTGACCACTCGGCCACGCACTATCTCTGCACCTGCACTCTCTCTCTCCCGGCACTGTCCCTACATCAATCCCTCCCCCTTCTCAAAAAAACAGTTGTATCGGCTAATAACGACAGTGTCCCGCGTCAGGGCCGAAGAACCGCATCAGAATTTTGTTTTATGTTTACCCGATGTCCGACGAACATGAGAGCACCCGAACTGCATAAATAACCGGATGCCCGACACACGTTAGGTCGGAAAAGCCCGCATGTGTAGTGGTGTAACGCGCAGGGATAGCAAAGACAGGGTGCAACTGAGGTCGCGCAGGTAAGCGGGGAGACATGGATTAGGCACCGGAGAGGAGGCAGCAATTAGGGGGAAAAGCATTAATTGAGCGGGTGCATTTTGGACGAACAGGTGTGAGCGTTGGAACACGGGGTAGACGCTGGAGAGGCTGGAGATGGCCGTTTCGTGAGCTTCAGAGACATGACGCAGCGTGACCTACAGGGGAACGGGCATGGCTGCTTTCTTCTTCCCGGAGGCCATACCCAATTGTGTCTCAATGGGGTTTTGTTTTCCCGTCCGTACATGAGAAAAAAACGGGGAGAATCCCATAGAGGTGTGTGGGGCCATCCTGTACACTTCCAGGACTCCCGGAACATGTAAATCCCAATCCGTCTGTGCCTCATTAACTACCTGACAGAACATCAATGTAAGGGTTCTGTGCAGGCGTTCCACCATACCATCTGTTTGGGGATGGTATGGCAATGTTCTAATCTTTTTTGTGCCCAGCACATCCCACAATTCACGCAGCAGCTTGGACGAGAAATTTCGACCTTGGTCCGTGAAAAGCTGCTCGGGGGGCCCCCTTATCCACATTACATAGCTGTGCAAAAATGCATCAGCTATGGATGCAGCTGTTTGGTCAGGAAATGGCCAGGACATTGGCCACCAGGAAAAATACTCAACCCCGACAGGGATACATTTATTCCCTTTTTGCGTAGTCGGGAAGGGTCCCAGGATGTTCAGCGCAACCAATTCGTTAATGCGGGAAACCATTATGGGCTATAACCGGGGTTGAGATTTTTGCGATGGCGGCTTGCGGCACGCGCAATCAGTGCAACCTTTGATCAAATGGAAGACATTGTTCGACATTCCCAGCCAATAAAAGTCTTTTGCACGGTTAACAAAGTTTTCTGATGCCTGAGGTGCATAAACTTTTCTGCATGCACTGCCCATGTTAATCTGCCTCGCAGGGAGGTGTTGACCACAATACACAACCGTCGCGAAACCTCCTGCCACCTTATCAGCAGACCTTCTCAAAGAATTAACTGCGAGATTCTCTTAGGCCAGGGGTTCTTGTGGTCAGTTTATGCGCGGAAGGCGCAAGTTCCTCCATCTGTAGCTGGCCCCATTCGGCATGCATGAGGCCCAACGTGTCATCCCTATGTGCGACCGCCATGGCTGGTAGCGGGTCACTACAGGCTACTACGACTCCCGGTGACTCAGCCATAGGCTGTTTACACCGGCCCGCACCCGACGAGCACACGCAGCATCTGTTCAGCGGCAAGCGGGATAATTCATCGGCATTACAGTGTCTCACACCACTGCGGTAAACGACTCGAAAGGAATACTCCTGGAATATTTACAACCAGCGTAAGAACTGGCCAGAAGGCTGGTCCACTCTCAGAGAGTACTGGAGGACCGCGTGGTCCGTGCGGACTACAAAGTCTCTGCCATAAAGATAAGGCCTGTATTACTGGATGAAGTATACCATGGCCAACAATTCCCTGCCAGTGACACAGTACCGCTCTCTACCCTGTTTTTTACCTGGGACAGGACAGCCCCTATGCCCATGTCACTAGAATCTGTGTCCAGTATGAACGGCAGAAAAAATTTGGGTAGTCAAGAGGAGGCGCGTTGGAAAGGCGATTGCACAGCGCAGCGAACGTGGCCTCCTCCTCCTGGCCCCATTTAAACTTCTGATTTTTACACGTCAGGGCATGTATGGGTTTTGCGGAACAAACCTCCGGTAATATGACGCAAACCCAACAAAACTGCACACTTCACCCACCGACTTGGGGATTGGCCAATCGCGTACGCACGCCGTCTTGTCCAGATCTGTGAAGATTCAATGAGCACTAACAATGTGGCCCAAATATCGCACCGAAGTCTGTAACAAATGGCAATTGACGGGTTTTAATTTCAGATTTGCCGACCGTACCCTGGAGAGCACTGTCTGAAACCTCTGTGAATGCTCCTCGAACGTGCAGCCAAACACGTTGATGTCGTCTTAATGTGGCAGGAATCCCACTGCCGTCCTACCAGCACCAACTCCATGAGTCGCTGGAAAGTGGCCGGTGCTGAATGCAATCTAATCGGGAGACAGTTAAACTGGAATAGTCCCTGGGGCGCTCGGAACACCGTTTTTGGTCCAGATGACTCATCTAAGGGAAGTTGCCAAAATCCCCACAATGAGTCCAATGTGGAGA